TGAGGCAGGAGAATGGCGTGAACCCGGGAGGCGGAGCTTGCTGTGAGCCGAGATCGGGCCGCTGCACTCCAGCCTGGGCGACAGAGCGAGACTCCGTCTCAAGAAAAAAAAAAAAAAAAGAAAGAAAGAAAAAGCCTATCATCTCATTGAATTGTTTTTTAATCTTTCTTAAAAATCAGATGGACATGCTTGTGTGGCGCTATTTCTGGGTCCTCTATTCTTTCTCATTGACCTATGTATTTGTCCTTCAATAATACCAAACAATCTTGAACTATACAATAAGATTTGAAGCTGGGTGTGGTTGCTCTCGTCTGTAATTCCAGAACTTTGGGAGCCCATGGTGGGAGGATTGCTTGAGCCCAGGAGTTCGAGACCAGCCTGGTCAACATAGCAAGACCCTGTCTCTACAAAACATACAGAAAAATTTAGCTGGGTGTGGTGGCATGCACCTGTAGTCCCAGCTACCTGGGAGGCTGAAGTGGGAGGATCACCTGAGCCTGGGAGGTTGATGCTGCAATGTGCTTTGTTTGCACCACTGCACTCCAGCCTAGACAACAAAGTCTCAAAAAAATAATAATAAAAATTGAAATCAGGTAGAGTGATTCTTTTCATTTTATTATTGTTTTCCAAAATTGCTTTAGCTATTCTAGTTCCTTTGCCTTTCTACATACATTAAAACAATTTTTTTTCCTATATCTTCAAAAAATTTTGCTGGCATTTTGATAGGAATTTTGTTAAACTTATATATCAATTAAAGGAGAATTGACATCATTACTATGTTGAGTCTTCAGTCCATGAGCCTGGAATGTCTCTTTCTTTTCTTTTCTTTTCTTTTTTTTTGAGAAGGAGTCTCACTCTGTCTCCCAGGCTGGAGTGCAGTGGTGCGATCTCGGCTCACTGCAACCTCCTCCCAGGTTCACACCATTCTCCTCCCACAGCCTCCTGAGTAGCTGGGACTACAGGGTGCCCGCCACCACGCCTGGCTAATTTTTTGTATTTTTGGTAGAGACAGGGTTTCACCGTGTTAGCCAGGATGGTCTCGATCTCCTGACCTCATGATCCACCCGCCTTGGCCTTCCAAAGTGCTGGGATTACAGGCGTGAGCCACCATGCCCAGCCAGAATGTCTCTTTCTTTAGATCTTAATTCCTTTTTTTTTTTTTTTTTTAAACAGGGTCTCGCTCTGTCGCCCAGGCTAGAGTGCAGTGGTGTGATTTTGGCTCACTACAACCTCTGCCTTCCGGACTCAAGCGATCCTCCCACCTCAGCCTCCCATACAGGTTACCATGCCCAGTTAATTTTTTGTATTTTTTTGCAGAGATGGGGTCTTGCCCAGGCTGTCTTGAACTCCTGGACTCACACCATCTGCCTGCCTCAGCCTCCCAAAGTACTAGGATTATAGGCATGAGCCACTGTGCCCAGCTGGTCTTTGATTTCTTACAACAATCTATTGTTTTCAGCTTATAAGTCTTGTACATGTTTTGTTAAACTTCCACCTAAGTATTTTGATTTTTTGAGTGATTATAAATGGTACTGCATTTAAATTTTTGGTTTTCATGTTTGTTGCTAGTATATGGAAATACAATTGATTTTTCTTAAAAAAAAATTTTTTTTTGAGACAGGGTCTCACTTTGTCACCCAGGCTGGAGTGCAGTGGTGCAATCATAGCTCACTGCAGCCTCAAACTCCTGAGCTCAAGTGATCCTCCTGCCTCAGCCTCTCAGGTAGCTGGGACCACAGGAACATGTCACCAAGCCTTGCTACTTATAAAAAAAAAAGTTATTTGTAGAGGTGAGGTCTCACTATGTTGCCCAGGCTGGTCTTGAACTCCTGGGTTTAAGCGATCCTTCCATCTTGGCCTCCCGAAGTGCTGGAGTTCCAGGTGTGTGCCACTGTGCTCAGCTGTGTTGGCATCTGTTGATTGTGTTTTCTCATTTAAGTTTAGATTTTCCCATTTCTTGGTATAATGAGTGCTTTTTGGTGGAAACTTGGACTTTGGGGTGTCATAAGACTCTGGGCCTTATTTAAATCTTGTGTTTTAGCAGGCTTCCTGACCCACTTTGGCAGGGGAAGGGGATGCCTCTTCATTATTGCCAAGTGGGGGTGGAAGTCCAGGCCTTCCACTTGGCCTTTGTTGACATGTGGAGGGAGGTTATTTGGCACGAATGGGAGTTCAGACTCTCCAGTTGGCCTCCAGGGATACCACCCTTGCTGGGATGGGGAGGGGACCTCCACTGATATGTGGGGTGGGAGGTGGCTTTGTTGCCACTGAGTGATGTTGAAAGTTCTGACTCTCCACTTGGCTCCCTATGGGGACAAGAGTGACTTTATTTTAAATGCGAATCCGCTAACTCCAATTCCAGGAATGCCTCCAAAATGTCTAGTTGATGTATTACTCTTTATATAGGATCACCTATTCACTGTAACTTTTGCCTTTTTACAGAAACAACCCTTGATGCTGTTGCAGAAATCATAGGTTGTGACACCCACAACATTCTCTCAACCATCGACACATTCCTTCCAGGGTAAGTATATTTTTTTTCCCCCAAGATATAAGCCCTGGTTCTGGGAGGCTACTGTGTGGAGATCCACTGGCCTCGCGGACACCGAAGACCATGCTTCTGTCTGTAACTTCCCTCTAATTAATTATCCTATACTGACACACTGGATTTGTCTGCTTCCTATGTTTTCTCAGCTCCTTGGGCATTTGGGGGTGGCTTTGCCTATATGCCCTTTCATGGAACACTGTCTCTGACACCACCCCAGAGAAGGGGATGAGTGCTTTCTTCCCATCAAGTCGGGTGGACGTCCAGGTTCTCCATGTGGTTTCCACTGATACCATGCTGGGGGAGAGCCTCCTTGCTGCTCAGTGGGAATGAAAATCCAGCCCTCCACTTAGCCTTCTCTGACACCATGCCAGGGGGAGGGGACGGTGGTACCTCTTTACAGCCTAGCATGGGTGGCAGTCTGGGCTTTCCAAGAGGCAAGCATGGGGATGGGGTTCTTTCTGTGGTTTGGGCTGGATTAGAGTCATTATTATCTAAACATTTTCTGTCTTCTGAGGCTGCCCTTTTCCTGGTCCTGTGGCTAGAGAGAGAAGGCTTTTCTTAGGGCATTGTCTTTGCCTGTCGGCATTTCCAGATTGTTTACTTCCTAGCACCCAGTCTGGGATATATAACGCAATACCCACCATGTTGTTCCTTGGGTCTCAGGGTGGTTAGCTGGTTTCCTTCTCTCCACCTTTCGGAGTCTTAGATTGTTTTATATAGAATGCCCACAATTTTTAGTTGTACTTAGTAAAAGGAATAGGGAAAATTGTGTCTAGTTCATCTTCTTGGAAACAAAATTCTTCCATCTTGTTTTCATAGAAAGCCATGGAACTGTGCTAACCACTGGAATCTATTTGTTTTGTTTGTTTGTTTTTGAGATGGAGACTCACTGTGTTGCCCAGGCTGGAGCGCAGTGGCGTGATCTCTGCTCACTGCCACCTCCACCTCTTGGGTTCAAGTGATTCTCCTGCCTCAGCCTCCTGAGTAGCTGGGACTACAGGTACACGACACCATGCCTGGCTGATTTTTTAAAATTTTTAGTAGATGGGGTTTCCCCATGTTGGTCAGGCTGATCTCAAACTCCCGACCTCAGGTGATCCGCCTTCCTCAGCCTCCCAAAGTGCTAGATTACAGGTGTGAGCCACTGCACCCGGCCTACTGGAATCTATTTGTATAATATCCTGGCTGTGAAGTTAGAGTTCTTACACTTGCATTTGGGAGACGCAGTTCAAATTGGTTACCAAAACATTGAAATGTGTTGAGTTGCTTCTAAAACAAATTCCATGCAGGACTGAAGAGTGGGTTGGCTAAGAGGGTAGCAGGCCTAGGAAATGAACCCCAGGAAACTGACTTAGTCAGGCGTTACCCAGTGGAGGGTGTCCAGGTTCTTGGCGTTTTGAACAAAGAATTGGACAAAACGCACAAACAAAGCAAGGAAAGAATGATGCAACAAAAGCACACTCCACAGCGTGGGAGCCTGCCTAGCATGTGGCTCAAGAGCCCAGTTACAGAATTTTCTGGAGTTTAAATATCCTCTAGAGGTTTCCCGTTGGTTACTTGGTGTACACCCTGTGTAAAAGAGGTAGTGGCCTGTGATCAGCCTGATTGGTTGCAAGAGGGGACCAATCAGAGGTACCTTCAGTTTTTCATCTGCCAGGCAGAAAAGCGGGGCAGGTTGCAAAGGGAGTAGCTTCTGGTCCTTTTGTTACTTGGGCATGGAAAGTTCCGGTTTTCCTTTTGATTTAGTTCTAGGAAGTCAGCGTGAATTGGCCTTAGGTTCCCTGCCCCCAGACCCTACTTTCCTGCCTCACAGGTTCATATTGGGTTTGTTATAAGGATATTCAAACTTTGTGAATAGGCAAGCAGGAATCTAGAGTTTCTAGAACATTGAAGAGGGACCAGGAGGGTATAACAACTTGTGTGAAAACATCAAAAATAAATATTTAGTTAAAAATAAAATTTCCCACTTTCAGAGTTTGTGGATATCTGTAAGAATTTCCATGATATATTAATTCGTTAAAGTGAATAAAAGCGAGAACAGAAGGGTGTTTCAGAATGCTATTGTTTGTGTAACAAGGGGGTGTTGAATATATATATAATTGCTTGGTTATCAATAAACTGGCTCTGAAAGGACACACATAGCTAATAGCATTGTTACCTAGGGGGAGGTGAAGTGGGTTCCTGGAGAACAGAGAGGGAGATTTTCCACCTTACACATATTTGCCATCTTATGAATTTTGAATGATGAGTGTCCCCCCACCCCTTCCTTCCTCTGCCCTGCCCCTTCCTTCCTCTGCCCTTTACTCTCAATATCCTCTTTTCATGCTTTTTTTTTTTTTTTTTTTAATCACTTCAGGTCCTTCAAAAAACTTATTTGCAGAAGTACGTATATATTCTGAATAAAATTCATTTTCAGATATATGTATTACAAATATCTTGTCTGTTCTATTGTCTTTCCCTTTTCTCAATGGGGTCTTTTCGGTATCTTATAGTTACTGATGCCCAATTTATCAGCCTTTTCCTTTAGGACTGGCACTTTTTGTGTTCTGCTAAAACGTTATTTTCCTCTCTCATGGTTATGATATTCTGCGATTTTATTGTCTAGAGCTGTACTGTTCACATTCAGGTCTACCATCCATCTAGAAATATTTTACTTGAGATAGGAGTCAAAGTTCATTTTCCCCCAATCCACATTCAATTGACGTAGCACTATATATTGAACAAAACTTTCCTTATTGCATTACCGTGGCTACTTGTAGGAGGAAAAAGTGACGACATAGCTGCGGGTCTGTTTCTGGCCTCTCTCTTTTTCATTCATTGTTTTTACCTTTGTACCAGTTATTACACTGTTCTGATTACTGTGGCATTATAATCATCTTGATAACTGTATCGTGAATTCTCCAACTATGTTCTTCGCCGAAAGTCCACGGAACACCAACCACGACCTTCGGAATTTCCCTCCGGAAGATGAAGGCACTGTAGTTACGCAGGTGGACCCTGTTCAGATCTCTGGTCTAGCGGGTCCTACGTACACCTTGAGGGACGCCCGCCCAACGCGCATGCGCAGCCTCAACGCTGGGATTGGACGGAGCCTCGCCGGCTGCGTACACGTCACTTCCGAGGCGGGAGGATGGATTGACTATGGTCTCTCCGGCAACCAGGTAGGGGCTGGGGAAGAAGGAACCTCCGAGATCAGGGGATAGGGTCTGACCTTGAGCTGAGGCGACTCCCCGGCCTGGGTGAGGGGAAGCGGTGTAGTGGTCGAGCGAAGGCCGCGGGCCCTGGGGGAGCGCGCGGAATCCCGGGCGGCTTTCGGATCCCCGCGACGCGGAACTCTGAAGGAAGACAGCCCAGGCGCTGGGACCAGGGCTCTGGTTCCGGCGAGTGCTTGGCTGGGAACCCCGCCTGTCGCCGAGGTCTCTTGAGTCCGGTTTCCGCGGCTGGAAATAGGTGTCGCGCTGGGCGCTGTGTGTGAAAGGCCTCTGCTCCCAGAGGGCTCCTGGCTCGAGCCTGTTTATTCCCGCATTTCTGCGCGACGTAGGGGAGCCCCCGCAGCGTGTGCCTGCGGCAGGACCGAGGGTTGAGCGCTGGGGGACGGTGGCACCTTAGCCAGTGACGGCGAGTTAGGATTAGCCAAAGGAACTCCGGTTTTTCAGAAGGCAGAAGGAGGGTGCTGACTCGAGCGTCCACGGGAATGGCTGTTTGAGATGTCTTGCTCTTCCAGTAGTTACTCTGCGGCTTCCTGGCTGTGCGGCTTTGGGCAAATGTTTTAAACTCGGAGTGTCTGTTTCTTCAGCTGTAACTTTGGGAATAACAAACCCACTCACAAGGTTGTTGTGAAGCGTAAATGAGACTGCACTTGCAAGGTGCTCAGCTGGTGTCTGGCACATAGTAGGTATTCAACAAATGGTAGCCACCTAATGCTCTTTTTTCAGTTTCCAAACCTTTGGTGTAATGATTTGAGAGTCGTGAAGTTACTTTTGAAATAACGTTTGGGTTTCATACACTCATACATTTAGTAAGCAGAATACTTGCTTACACTGTTGCCGATTGCAACGGTGTGTTTGCGTAATAGAAGCTATATTTGTGCCTTTATCAAGGGTGTGGAATATGCCTTCCCTACCATGTACATGTCCCCTTTTCTCCATTCCTTAATAATAGTTGATATTTTTTGAGTGTTTGCTATGTTCCAGGCATTGTACTAATCCCTTTACTGAATTACTCAATCCCGTAATAACCCTAATAATAGGAACTATAGGGAGAGATGGGCTTAGAGATGTTGAGAAATTTATCCAAAGGCATAGAGCTATTAGCCAGGCATGGTGGCACACGCCTGTAGTCCCAGCTACTTGTTGGGACTGAGGCAAGTGGATTGCTTGAACCTGGGAGATTGAGGCTGCAGTGAGCCGAGATCACGCCATTGTATTCAAGTCTAGGTGACAAAGTGAGACCCTGTCTTAGCTGGGTACAGTGACTCACACCTTTAGGGGCTGAGGCGGGCGGATCACCTGAGGTCAGGAGTTCGAGACCAGCCTGGCCAACATGGTGAAACCAGTCTCTACTAAAAAATACAAAAATTGGCTGGGCGCTGTAATTCCAGCACTTTAAGAGGCCAAGGTGGGCGGATCACAAGGTCAGGAGATGGAGACCATCCTGGCTAACACGGTGAAACCCCGTCTGTACTAAAAAAAAAAACAAAAAAATTAGCCGGGTGTGGTGGAGGGCTCCTGTAGTCCCAGCTACTCGGGGGGCTGAGGCAGGAGACTGGTGTGAACCCGGGATGCGAAGCTTGCAGTGAGCCGAGATCCCGCCACTGCGCTCCATCCTGGGCTACAGAGCAAGACTCCGTCTCAAAACAAACAAAAATTAGCCAGGCGTGGTGGTGGGTGCCTGTAATCCCAGCTACTCGGGAGGCTTTGGCAGGAGAATCGCTTGAACCTGGGAGGCAGAGGTTGCAGTGAGCTGAGATCCTGCCACTGCACTCTAGTCTGGGCTACAAGAGCGAGACTCCGTCTTGGGGGAAATAAAAAAGTGAGACCCTGTCTCAAACAACAACAACAACAAAGGCATAGAGCCGGTAAAGGCAGATCCAATACCACGTCACTTCAGAACCTAGCACTTAGCTACAAATCTTATTAATTCCTTCAGATACTTATTGAACGCTTACAGTGTACCAGCATTGTGCTGGGTGTTGTGGATACAATGATGACCAAAACAGATAAAACCCCTGTCTTTAAATTGCTTGTAAATCTAGCAAGGGAGATAGACGGTAAATATATACATAAAACTAAATGTTAATTACGATTGTGATGCATGCTGTGGAGAACAGTAGAGGGTGCTGTGAGAATACATAGTGGAGTCACCGGCATGCTGGGGGCGGCGGGGGTGTTGGGGGGGAAATGAGGAGAGACAGGGCAGGCTTTCCCAAGAAAATAATATTTCGCTGAGACTTCAAGGACTGAGTTGGAGTTAAATGGACAAAGAGCTAACAGAAGGAGGGAAGGGCATGTGTGAAGTCTTGAGACTAGGAGGAGCTTGTATCTTGTTACGTAAAGACCTGTGTGAGGCTGAATGTGGTGGCTCACACCTGTAATCCCAGTGCTTTGGGAGGCTGAGGTGGGAGGATCACGTGAGGCCGGGAGTTTGAGACTAGCCTGGGCAACAAAGGGAGACCCCATCTCTACAAAAAATTAAAAATTATCTAGGTGTGGTGGTGTGCACCTGTCGTCCCAGTTACTCAGAAGGCTGAGTCAGGAGGATCACTTGAGCCCAGGAGTTTGAGGCTGCAGTAAACTGCATTCCAGCCTGGGCAACAAGTAAGACCCTGACTCAAAAAAAAAAAAAAAAAAAAGAACAATAAGCATTAAACCAGACTGGGATGTATTACGGATAATATACTAATGCAGTTTCTTTCAGAAAAGAAATACCACATACAAATAAATACCACCATTTATTTGTATGTAGCTGAGCAGATATAACCCATTATGTAGTCTCAAGATTAATGGTAATTTGTCCTCTTGTAAGAAGACTTGACGGCACCATTTGCTGTACATGCTTTCATAGTTCATTCTAAATTCATCTGGTAATTGGATTGGTCATCTGTGCTACCTAGTTACTTTTTTCCAAAGGAAAACATAAAACAGCTCTATGATAAAACAAGTAGTTGAGGTGCCTAGGTTAAACTCCCACAGTGATAGGGCTGGGTCATTTTCTTCCTGGATATTTCCATTTAAAATAGGGGGTTCAGGGGGTTTGGCTGAGCATGGTGGCTCATGCCTGTAATTCCAGTACTTTGGGAGGCTGAGAAGAGCAGATCACTTGAGGTCAGGAGTTCAAGACCAGCCTAGCCAACATGGCGAACCCTGTCTCTATTAAAAATACAAAAATTAGCTGGGTTTGGTGGCACACGCCTGTAATCCCAGCTACTCAGGAGGCTGAGGCAGGAGAATCACTTGAACCGGGAGGCGGAGTTTGCAATGAGTTGAGATTATGCCTCTGCACTCGACCTTGGGCTACAGAGTGAGACTTCATCTAAAAAAAATTTTTTTAAATACATAAATATAAAGGAGGGGGTTCCAGGCCCTTCAGAAAAACAGTCCTGGGTTTTACTGTATTTACTGGGTTTAAAAAAGCTAAGATAGGGCTAGATTATTTAGCCTTTAAAAAGATTTGCATACATATCAAAGGGAAAGAGGAATAATTTATAAATACTGGGTTTTTCAAAGAAATGCTGTAAGGAAAAGGAAGGAGAGAAAAGATCTCCTTCCCTTTAGGCAACAGGAAAAATTCAGTTTTAAAATTTTTACTCTATGTTTGCATGACAACTAAAAAAAAATTTACTTAACAGTACAGTAAAATGTTGGACTAGAGCAACATCCATAATGTTGGCTGGTGTAGGAGTTATTCATTCCCACCCCATTATACACATATGAAACCTTTCTTTGGTAGCCAATGTTATTTTAATGCAGAAATTAACTCTCTATTCTGGAAAGCCATAAGCATGAGGGTGAAAATTGGGATTGAACAGCATGTAAGTTCAGTTTGAAAGCTTCTTGCCACCCAAGAGGGAGAGGTCTGTGATGGCCACTGAGTTTGCTACCGGAAAAGAGTCTTGATCCAGACCTCAAGAGAGGGTTCTTGGATCTTGTGTAAGAAATAATTTGAGGCCAATCCATAGAGAAAAGTGAAAGCAAGTTTATTAGAGAAGTAAAGAAACAAGATAATGGCTACTCCATAGGCACAGCAGCCCTGAGGGCTGTTGGCTGGCCACTTTTATGGTCATTTCCTGATTATATGCTAAACAAAGGGCGGATTATTCATGAATTTTCCAGGAAAGGGGTGGTAATTCCCGTAACTGAGGGTTCCTTCCCTTCGTAGACCATATAGGGTAATTTCTTGACCTTGTCATGGCATTTGTAAACTGGTATAGTGCTGGTGGAAGTGTTGTTTAGTGTGCTAATGCATTATAATTAGAATGTATGAGCAGTGAGGATGACCAGAGGTCACTTTCATTGCCATTTTCCATTTGGTGGGTTTTGGCTGGCTTCTTTACCTCAGCCTGCTTTATCAGCAAGGTCTTTGTGACCTGTATCTTATGCGACCTCTGTCTCATCTTGTGACTTAGAATGCCTAACCTGGGAATGCAGCCAAGTAGGTCTCAGCCTTATTTTACCCAGCCTGTATTCAAAATAGAGTTGCTCTGGTTCACATGACTGATACATTGACTGAATATTGCTTACCAGTGGTTTGAGCTTTCTTGCTGTACTTAGCTAGTGTTTTATTAAGTAAGCTATGTTTGCACTAGGAACACTAAGTTCTGAAGGGGATATACATTTTTCCAGTTTATATGAGCAGCACTTAGTGGTCATTAAATTACTACATTAGGAAACTACCATTGCAGAATTCTGTATGAGTATGGTATTATAACCCAGATTGGTTTAAAATATTAGCTAAACTAAATCAAGGAAACTGTACTGAGTTCCTGTTAAGCAGCTATTGGTTTAAAGTGTTAGCTAAACTGAATCAAGGAAACTACTGAGTTCCTGTTAAGCAGCTAGCTTGTTTATGTTCAATTGTTGCTTAGAACCCTTTGTATTCTGTTTGAGTTGTTAAAAGAAAAACTTTAGACAAATTAAATTCAACAGAGTTTAACTGAACAAAG